TCCAGCAAGCTAACTCTTTTTGCTCTTAACTATTTGCAGCTTCTGAGCAGCTTTAAACATCTACTTCAGAGTGGATCTTTGAAATTCATCAGAGCAGAAGCCTTAGGCTAGAAATGTGCTTCCTTCTCTATCTGTCATATTCTATTCAAGCTTTACTGAGAAGTGCTATTTACTTCTAGAAATCAGTTTTTCATTTTGTGTTTGTATTCCTCAGGAGAACTGTCCGTACACTGAAGGAGTTGAACATAAGTATTCTAAAATTGGGTATATTCAGGTGTCAAAGCAGTGTGGAGACCAAACACCACCCACACTCATTGTAAAAGGATAGATGGAGGAAATTGTAGTCTGATCTGTATTACAGATAAATTAACTAAAATGTTACCTTTAAAAGGTAAATCTTATAATTTCTTTGTTAAATTTAAAAGTTCAAATGTTCGAGTTAGAAAAATTTCTGTTAAGGTTTCCTAGGAAATTGATCCTTCTCATAAATGTACTGTTGGGTGAGGTGGTGGGACTTTTTTAAGCTGTAAAAATTCAGCTCTGTTCAGTGCTGGGGTGGATGGAGAAGCTGTGGGGGACAGGGTAGCTGAGCAGACCGGGTGGTTTGCTGCCCCGAGGAAGGCTGGGTGCTGCTGGTACCCGCTGTGTCCTGCTCTCGGTGGCCTGTGTGCTTTAATTCCTGTGTGACTGGAGCCAGTTCCCTGATGCAGCAGCGCAGTGAGCAGCTTTCTGCCGAGCCGCTGAGTTGCTGTGCAGTTGGTGAGCAGCAGTGGTGCAGGGCCCTGTGCCAGGAGCAGTGACAGAGGACACTGGGGGGTTGGATCATCTGGCAGTGAGCTTACACATTGCTCTGCTGTGTCATAGCCTGAATAATTGTCACATTTTTTCAGTCTTCCAATATAAAATTTGATTTTAAAATGTTTTTTTCTTTGCAATGTGGGGTGTATGAAGTATCTACACAAATAATTTTCAGTATGTATGTAATTTGCTGCCTGTGGGGAAATGGAGTTTTTGACTGAACTTGTGTATGCAGTAGCAAAAGCTTGTGTGAATTTTAAAAAGGCTCAAAACAACTAAGCAGTTTTTGAAGTTGTGTTACCTAATTCCTGCTTGAAGTGGTTTTAGAGATCTAAGTTTTACTCTTGTTGGTGTGCAATTTTTTTTCAAAGCGTTTAATTCTAGTAATGTTTTGAAAAAAGCCCATTTAGAATTCTTTTTATCATCTTATTTCTGTTTTAAGGCTTTTTTCTGCTTCAGTGGCATCAGTAGTTCAGACATTGAAGATGGGATTGATGTTTTGTCTCCCAAGGATAGATGCTTACCATTTTTCTCTCTTTTAGTTGCAACTAGCAGTTCAGGGGACCCTGCTACCTTCCATCACAGATCTTCTGGTGGTTTTTTTAGTTATACAGCCTTTTGTTCTTTCAGTGATTGCTGCTCTCTTGGTTTCCAAGTGTTTCAGAATTAAAACTGGTCTCAGTTCCATCCTTAAATAGAGAGATCCAAAAAATTCCGTGGAAGAGAGTTGCACACAGAAATAAGGGGTTGTGGGCAAATATTTATTTTATTACAATTTGTGTGCATAATTTTTGCAACTTGGTGTGATTTGAGAAAGTGTGCAGTGATGAATTGTAATAATTGATATATATGTAAATGGCATAACCCTTTTATCTTGTGTTCAGAAGTAAAAGCAGTCTGTATTAAAATCAATGTATTAAAGCTGAGAGGAAATTTTTTTTTATATGCCCAAAAGGGAATAATTTTAACCCTCTGGTTAAAAACTTTTATCTCTTCTGAAGGTTTTGTAGAGATGGTGTGAAAACAGAGGGAATGATAAATGTTCTTCAGTATAAAATGTCTTAATGTAATTTCCTTCTAAGGTTTAAGTGCTTCCATAGATGCATACCAAGCTAAATAAGAAGTACTTTTACAACTGGGTTTGAAGACAAACCCTTTTTGGATATGTTCACGAGAACTTTGCATAATTGGAGACTGATTTACATTCCATCTATGATGTTTCTGTCTTAAAGAACATGGCTTTCAAGACCATGGCTGTGCTCTTTTGAGTGCTGCTCACTGATGATTAGAAAAAAATCAATTATTTCAGTTGGAAGGGACCTACAGTGATGATCCAGTTCAACTGCCTGACCGCAGCCCTGAGGCTGGCCAAGACTTTAACCTGTTGTTAAGGGCATTGTCCAAATGCCTCTTAAACACTGCCTGCCTTGGGGCATTGACCACCTCTCTAAGGAAGCCTGGTTTATTGTTTAATAGTGAAATTGTTTGTTTGGTTAGTTTTTTAATATTTTACTGCATAGCTGCATCCTTGAAATATGCTAAGTGATGAATTAAAGAAACTGCCACCAGGTATTACAGGAGCAGTTGAATGAAATTGTTTGTAAAACTTCTCAGAAGATCAAAAGGAATGGTGCAGGTTGAAAGGGGAAATCAGATCATCTTCCTTCTTTACTTTAGGAATGGAAGTCAGCAGTTTTTGTTGTTTTGCACAGATACAAACTCATACCCATCTATTACATAAGTACTTTACATTTCAGCTAGTAATGATATAATGTAATTTAATAGCTGGGTGCTCAGCAAGAACATACAGATGCTGATCTTCATTTGTCTTAGGATTTTCTGTGGTGATAACAAACATGCTCAAGTAGGAGAGAGTGATTTGGCTCTTACTGCAGCAAATAACTTCTTGCTTTGAAGTTTGTTGCCATTTATATTTCTCTGATTAAACCACAGTAAATACAAATTTCCTTACTTTTCTGCCATACCTAATGTCTCTGAGTGACTAGTTTGAACAAAAATCTGATCTCCATTTGGAAACAAGTGAAGTGGGTTGGCAGGTAACTCCTGCTTCCCCCTGCATCACCTTACTCCAGCATTTGGTGCTATAATTCCATAGTTTGTATATTCACGCTAATGTAATATCTGCAGAATGACTGACTTCTTTGTGATATCCATCAGCATAGCAAAAAAAATTTCATATTTAGAGTGAAACAATTTAAAAATGCTACATTAAAACATTATTAAGAGTTTGAATTACCTGTATACCCGGATGCTTTTTTGCAGTTTTGTATTCCTGCAGTCAGGAGGAGAGGAAAAATGTCTGAGTCTGTATTTTGAGATTTGTGTTGAAATTTCAAAGCCTGCAGTATGTAACTTCCCACTGTCATAAACCATTTTGTTATTTCCCACTGCCTGGAGCTGGTGCTGTAGTGGCACCATCACAATACCCCAGAACAGCAGTAGGTGATTTTTGCCAGGTAATGACATTACACACAAGGACCCTGGCACCCTGAATGAATCATTTTCAGGACTCCTCTAAGGCTGAGGTACTCAGTTGTTGAACACCTGTTGCTGCTCTTCCTGGTCTTTTCGTGCCCACTGGCCTTAAAGACTCTGGTGACAGAAAGAGGATATTAACAGAGGTGGTGAATATTGCATCTGCCAGATGAAGCAGTTCTGTTGCTGAGGTTTGATGCTGGGTTTACATTAAATTTAGCCTAAGAAAGGACAGACTTCCATGAAGATACTGGCAGTTGAACTTTGCAGTTGAACTTAGCTAGCTAAAAGTGAAATTGTGTTCAGAGAGTGTGCTGTGTTAAATCTGATTCTGAGTGAAGAGTCTTTGTAGTTATTAACTGTGTAGATTAGGTTAAGAAATCCTAGAATCCATTTCCTTTTTTGGACTAAATAAGAAATGAGGTGACCTCAGGGCGCTTTTCATTCCCCTCTCTGTGAGAAAATAGAATCCAAGGAGATAACTAAATGTGTCTCCACTTCAAGAATCCCAGAAGTATTTAGCTGCTGTCACAAACATCAGGAGACTCAGACCCAAGAGTCTCAATTGCTTGTTTTCCTTTTCAGTATCTGCATCTTCCATGTCCAACCTCTTAATCATCAGCAAAAATTTGTGATTCCATGCACCAACAGTTGTGGTCTCATTTTTTTTTTTTCTTTAAGGACCTGTTAAGTTACTTGGATGCAGGATGACAAGCTGAAAATAATCCACTGCAACAATGTAGTAGAGATTGGCTAACGTAACTCTTGCAGATTTCACATTACTTAGTCTTGCAATGAAATACACAATTTTTAAACTTGAAAGCTTCTGTGTTTGAACATGCTGGTTTGGAATTGCTGGTGTGAATATAATTTTGTGCTGAAACATACCCACTGACTTTGTTTTACGATGTGCTAAATCATTTTGACTGCTTGATCTTGGGGCAGTGTTGTGCTACAAGTTTTTTGGCTACCACTTCTATTACTTGCAAAAATACCCTCTCACTTTTTTAAAACAAGTGAGAACATTTACCTTGGGAATCACTTGAATGTGCTATCCCCAAATGAGTAATTTCTGCATTTTGGACATTTAGGACAGTTTTTTTTCATGTCAGCTTATATATTAAGAGAACTTGAAGCTAGTTTCTTTTTTGTGAGTGTTTTCTTTAATGTGTCTTTTGTTTTAATTTTATTTATGTTATAATATGTATGGGATGAGTTTTTAGATGTTCCCATGTGTTCTTCAGCACAGTTTATCTAGTTTTGAAGGAGTGCCCATGTGAAGAAGCCCATCAGACAAGGTCAGTTCTGGCAGTGGCATCTCGTGGGCAGTTTGTGCTGCTGTTCATATCCAGGGATGGTTTGTAGGCTCCTTGTCTGGCAGTGTTGGACAGCTGTCCTGTGATGTCTCTGGACTTTATGGGGCAGCTAAAGGGAATGATGGACTGCAGCTCCTCATGGAAGCGGCCTTGGGACACTTGGGTTATTGTGATGTTTTTTCCATTGTTGTCTCAGCTTATTTACCAATTGCACAGGGCAGGTGTCTCTTACCCTGCTCACTTTTGGTAACATACACATTGTGACCCTTGCTTTTGGTCTCTGGTCTTTGTGTGCCATGGTGAGGGTTTTGGTAACTTTGAATCCCAATCTTTAAATATATATTTTGTATTAAAATTTCCTTAAGAGATCTTTTTTTTTAAACTCAACAGGTGGGAAGGAGAAACCAAAAACCAATGCAGAAGAGCTACAGATTAAAAAAGTTAAGAAGAAAAAGAAAAAGAAACATAAAGAGAATGAGAAGAGGAAGCGTCCAAAAATGTACAGCAAATCTATTCAGACCATCTGCTCAGGATTGGTTTCTGACATTGAGGATCAGGAAGCCAAAGGCATCATGGATGATCATCTTAAGGATTTCAATGGGAAAAATATGGATCCCAAGAAGGACTGTGAGTCCAAGATACCAGAGAACAGTGAGTTTCCATTTGTCTCGTTAAAGGAGCCACGGGTTCAAAATAAACTCAAAAGGTTGGACACATTGGAGTTCAAACAGCTGATTCATATTGAGCACCAGCCTAACGGAGGTGCATCAGTTATCCATGCCTACAGTAATGAACTCTCCCACTTGTCTCCTGTGGAGATGGAGAGATTTGCAGAAGAGTTTGTGGGTCTGGTTTTTAGTGAAAATGAAAACTGTGCAGCTTACTATGTAATGGGTATTGTTCATGGGGCAGCTACTTATTTACCTGACTTTTTAGACTACTTTTCGTTTAATTTTCCCAATTCACCAGTGAAAATGGAGATTTTGGGAAAGAAAGATATAGAGACAACGACTATGTCAAATTTTCATGCTCAGGTAAGAGGTTATGCATTTTACTTTCTAAAGTCATATAATGGTTTCAAACAACTGTGAATGGGTTTTTTTTTTAGAGTAGTTGCTGTTAGCTCTGCTATATGGATGACACAGAAGACTGGAAACAAGGGATTTCTTTAAGTCAGTTCTGCATTATTGAAGATGAGAAGAGACATAAAATTGTTAACTGAGACATCAAATTGGATTTTTGGTGGGAGGGCAAGTGTTTGCATGCTTGTGTGTGTAGGTTTCTTTGGATTTGTTTCTGTAGCTGAAGATTAACCATGAGTTTTGGAGGGTTAAAATGGTTTAGTTGTGGCTTTCTGGGTTTCTGAACAGTAGTATGTCTGTATTGTCATAAAACTGAAATGCTTTAATACAGTGTTATACACAAAAACCTGCATAGGGCACAGTTATATTAGCTTCATTTGTAGTTTGGGTTTTCTAAATCCATCCTCAAAGAACTTGGGGTTAATGTGGCTGCAGATTTGGTCCTTATCCCTTTGCATTTCTCCTTACTTGGCTGGACATTAACTCTTAAGTTAAATGGAAGAATGACTGGCAGCTTTTGAATATTCTTTTATTTCAAAAGAATAATTATTTTTTGGAAGAAATGACTGTATACTTTCTTAACAACAGCTGCTGATTAAGCATCACCTCTGCTGTTTATTAACTTGCTGTAGAAAATACATTTCTGTTGCACGGAAATAATTTGTAGCACTGGTTTTCAGGAAAAAAAAAATCTATTTGATTTTCACCTTGGTGATGAGGTTATTGCAAAAAGCCCCTACAGTGACTATGAAACAATTTATGCAGAAACTCAGTCCTGTTATTTATATCAACTTTATCTCACAATTGCCCTTTTAACTCCCATGTTTGTGAACTTAGATGTTGTATGGATCAGCTTTAAACTATTTAATCTTCACTTTTGAGATGATTAGAGTTCAAGTGTAAGTTACACCCTCATCTCTTTCATGAATACCATGCCTATTTTTTCCCTTTGGCTGCATAGACATTTGCATAGAACACTTGCATGTATTGACAAATTTCAGGTGTGTTATGCACAAGGATATGCAAACTAAAATGTTGCTGCAAGAGAAGATTTGCAGTGTTGGCTGAGAAAATATCTACTGCCATGGAATATGAATATGCTGCGAACTACAGTCACTGTTTTTCTTGAGTATGTAAACTGAAACACTAATAATAAAAATCATTGAACACATAATGGGCAGCTCTCCAGAGCTGCTCTTTGGCCAGTTTAGATAAGAAAAGCTGGATCTGTCCTTACAAGGATGTTCCTTAAGTCCAGCTGGTTCTCTCGGGTTGCATTAATACAGGCATAGCTATGTGCTAGTGCCTGCCCTAAAGAAATAGTTAATAAAAGCTCAGATTTTATTGTTGTGAATTATCATAGAATTATTTTACTAGAATGATAGATTAAATTGTTATTCCAGTGGTAACACTGATGTCTAGTTAAACCAGCCCTGTGTTCTTTGGGGTTGAAATCCTAATCCCCATTTTTGTGTAAGTGAAGGAGGAACAGAGAGAGGCTGTGGTAGATGAAAGAAGCTGAACTGTGTTACTGCAGCATTCTGCTGGTCTGCTCCGTGGCCCAAGCTGTATTTTACTTGGCTGGAGGTTTAGTTCTGGTATCTTCTTTTCCTTTGTGTTCCCTCATTTTTTGCCTTAGGTTTCATGGCATTTTATCACTTCTCAGTTTGGTTGCCTGACAGAAAAGGCTTGGCTCCTTGTATTTTTGCTAACTAAGGAGTAGAGGGTGTATAAATAACGTGTACAGGCAAACAGCAGACTTTGTCTTCTGTGCAGCATTCTTGTTTCCTGGAATATTTAAGTCAGTATCTTGGTTGCCTAGTTATTGATTCTAATTTTCCTTATGGTTTTCGTATTTCTGTTTTACTTTGGCTGTTTATTTTGGTTTTTTTTAATGTGGTCTGCTACAGTTAAAATGTTTTGTTAGCTTTGTATTCTCCTTTTTGGCATGTTACATTTTGTGCAGACTGAGAGCATTATCCTGTCTCACTAAGTTCTTTGTGAATCTTTTAAAGGGATTCTAATATCTTGTTGCAGTATATTTTGATGAAACTTTAAATATATTTGGTTTTCTGTTCCTACATTTCCCCAGCTTTGTGCTGTGCTGTTCCTTGTCCTGGGTAGCCTGAGCAATGTCTAGCAGCTGCTGTACAGCCTTAGTTGAGAAAGAATTTGTTTTCTAAGCAGAAAGTTGATTTTATCCAATCTGCTTTGAGTATGTGTCTTGGACTTCATCAGCTTTAAGAAACTTGAGTATTCCTTTGGTAATTTTAACTAAAACATTGAAATGAAGCTCACTTTGGTACAAGATGTTCTTTGGTGGTTTCTCAGATTACATGTAGCACATGTAATCAATCTGACAAAGGTAAGTATTTAAAAAGATCAAGAAAAGTATTATAAAAAGGAGAATGAAGGTTGAGCTAAGCCTGAAATGGAAAGTGTTATAGAGTGTTTTATCAATTTTTGTTTTTCAAGTTGATCCTTTTGTTACTACTCAATTTTCCACCTCCTGTTTTGTGACAGATGTGAGTTTGTGATTTTTTTGGTTTTAAGTAATGCATATGTTTAAGTCATCAAATTCTGTGATAAGAATCAGATTGTACAGTAAATTCTGTTGCTGAGGTCAAATTGGGGTCCTCCTAAGTTTGCCTGGAAAGTCTGCATCTCTCAAGTAATTTACTTAGTTTTCACAGTTGTAGAGTTGAGAACTAACTCCTTTCAGCTTGCTTCCCAATACACCTGTGTCAGATAGGAGTAATGTAATTTTACTTGTTAGAAGATAAGGGACGCAGATTTGTGAGAATATTTGCAGCAGAGAGGAATTTGGAACTGGCTCTTTCTAATGAGAATTAGCTTTTAAATTTTGCAGGGCGACAAAATGGGGAGTTTTTCATCATCCAGCTGGGGCCTATGCCTGAGTACTCCTTAAAATTTTTTTGCATTAATGTAACAGCTCTTTTTGAACTCACTGACTCACTGCAAGGCTTAGTCAGACAGTTTCTGTAACTGGGCAAAATGGAATTAGACTGGATATCCTTGTAGCCACGAAGTCAGTCCTTCAGGTGGTGAAAAATTGTCTTGTAGCTCCATCTTGCCTGGGCTCTGTGTTTGTGTAGATGGCAACAGCTGCATCAGTTACCTGATAGCCATGGATCTCCTCAGGCTCTGAGGAGGATTTTAAAGAGCATAAATAATCAGCTTTTGCCACCTACTTGCAGCTTACATCACTTCACTTAAGCTGTTTAGTGCTGTTGAGACAAATGTTAATATTTTGAACTTTTATTTTTTTCCTGGTGCTGGGCAAGTGTAAGTTTTTCTTGCTGTGCTGAAACCCCAAAGCTCACAGTTGATGTTTAACAATGCTGAGTGCATTGATTTTACTGTCTTGCATCACAGACAACTTCTGTACAGATGAAGTAAAATGCTGCACAGTACCAGACAGTTCTCTGCTGCCAAACAAGGTGGACTGTTTGAAAGCTGTATTTGACAAGTTCTTGTCTGATGTGTTTGTGGGAGATCTCAAGGTGATTCCACTCTTTACAAAGAAATCCTTTGTAAAGTCATTTTTTCCTTGTTTGACCTCTTATCCTTTTATTCTGATCTTTAGTGGAGAAGGCAAGCAATTTATCCATTTCGTTCAGCTTTCTCTATATTTGACAATTGCTTAAAAGCTGCTTTTTTCCCTCTCCCTAGATCAAGTAATTTGAGTTATTTCAGTCTGTTATACCATGTCAGCATGTTTATACCATTATTAGTCTTAGTGATCTCCCCTTATGTTCAATTCAGTCATCCAGATTTTTTTCTTAATATATGATGCTAAAAATCGATAGTGTCTCTCTGGTTATTGATGTCAAAGACTATGAGAAGATTGCTGCAAGTGTCTTGCAAATTCTTGCTTTTATATCTGTTTTTTCCTTTTTCAGAGCAGTTTGTGATCTGCTGTAGCAGCAGCTTCTGCTAATTGAGTTGCTCCCCCTTTCAGGTTCACACAGCTCATTAAATATGTGAGTGTAGTTCTTGCTTTTGTTTACACTGAATTATATCCTTTGCATTCAGACCCCCTCTCCAGTTTCAAGCTTTGTTAATTTTGATCCTTTCCTGTGACTTGCAGTGTTGCAATGCCTGTGGGTTTTATGAGGATAGACAGCCTTCAAAGGAAGGATCCTTGCTGCCTGCCTCAAAATGAGATGGTTATGTGAGCACTGACTAAACTGCCCACAGTTTGCTCTTATTAGACCATGTTTCTATAGCAGTTTGTAGAATATAGTGGAAATGTCAAATGTTAAGATGTCTACTGGTCCTCTGAACAAGCCTAGCCAGCCATAGTAACAAAGGTTAGTTTGACTTGATTGTTTTCCATTTTTTTTTTGCATGACTGTGTTTATTAGTTCTTACTATCTCATTTTCTAGGTAGTTGATAGTTGTATCAATTATCCAGCTAAGTGATTTTTTCTGTAAATTGGAATTAGGCTAAATAGTCTCTAGCTCCTCTGTCTTCTGTTGACACCTATTTCTTTAAGATGATGTGCTACTATCTTCCAGATGTGAAGAACTTTTGTGGTTTTGAATTAGAATCATGGAGTGGTTTGCTTTGGGAGGGACCCCAAGGGCTGTGTAGTTCCAGTGAGCTGCCATGAGCAGGGACAGGACACTAGACCAGGTTGCTCAGAGCTCCACCCAGCCTGGCCTTGAACACTTCCAGGGATGGGCCATCCATAGCTTTGCTGGGCAGCCTGTTCCAGTGCCTCAGCACCCTCACAGCAGAGAAGTTCTTTGTAACAGCTCAACTTGCCCTCTTCCAGTCTGAAGCCATTCCACCTTGCTCTGTCACTGCATGCCCTTGCACACTGTCCCTCTCCAGTTCTCTTGCAGTCCCCTTTAGGTACTTGAAGGTTGCTCTGAGATTTCCCTGGAGCCTCTTCCCTAGGCTGAACAGCTCCAGTCTGTCTGTG